TAGCGCGCACCTCCAAGAACATGAGTTGGCGCAGCTAGACCGCAGCCACGAAGCCCTAGCCGCCATCAGGGGGGCAAGACGGCTGGTTCAACTTCCAGAAATAGATCCACATGCACCACGAGCACACCGAGAGCAAGCCCTACGCCACAGCAACCAGCCAGGAGGGCAACCGCTCATCTACCCGGGGGACGAACAGTGGGGAGCAGCGGCGGTCCACCCGTGGGCCATACACATGTACCAAGGGAGCACCCTGGCAGCAGCTGACCCAATAGCCTCCACGAACCAACCACGACCAGCCGACAACAACCACCACCACCACGCACAACAGGTGCAGAACCACCCCACAGCCACCGAAGGCCAACCTAGAGACAGCCAACAACAACCACACCATCACCACCAGGCACAACACGTGCAGAACCACCCCACAGGCGTTACCACCCCACGAGGGTCACAGTCACAGTCACAACAGCAGACAGAGACAGAGACAACAGTGGCCACCGACATCCCCCCCCGACAAGGGGGGAGCCCACAGCCCACGGACACATCCCTTGACAGAGCACCAACCACACCAGACACAGCAGCAGGACCAGACGCAAGCAATGTGAGCCAAGCCACCGACAAAACAGAACACCACCACGAGCGCCTAACGGAGGGAAGCGGTGGCGCACGCCCCTCGGCCGTGGTCGGTGACAAGCCAAAGCAGCAGCCAGCCCCAGCAGACCCCACCACACCACAACAACCAAGCGGGGGAGAAGGCAAGTTCTCCTTTTACTCACCAGCCGCACGAGCAGCCTTCCGCCCCATGCCAAGCCACAGCGAGCAGAGAGCCACCCCCAAACGTCCACCACCACCACCACCGAGCGACTCTGAAACCAACTGGCCGAGTGAAGACCCACCAGAGGCCGACCACACGGAACTTATGCAGGCGCACCACCCATCTCCACATGCCAACCCCACCACAGCAAACCCGGCGGGGGCAACAACACAAGAGGGGTGCGACAACCTGCTAGGACAAGAGGCAGCTACACATGCCGACAGCAGCACACCCCCGAACTCGGCAGCCAGCGACCAAGCCACCACAGTGCCATGGCTAGTACATACACCACCCCGTGCCAACAACACCTCCGACAACGAGGAGGACACAGCCGCAGCAGCTGCGAAAGCACAGACAGAGACAAGGCAGGGGGAGGGACCTGAAGAAAGTCCACTGAAGAAGGCAAGACGTCAGGCCGCAGATCTACTCCGCAGTGAAACGGAGGAAACACTAGCCGCCGCGGCCCAAGCCACAGTCGAAGTCAGGGGGAACGAGGACGACCGCCTAGACCGCGACCTCCGAGCAAGAGGGGAACCCCGAGTGCTAGGGGACAAAGCCAACGAAAGAGCCAGGCAAGCAGCGGAACACATTACTGAAGCCATGGCCCTTGCAAGAGCAGTGGAGTTGTACGGGGTTGAAGCCCACCTCTCGGCGGCGGCTACAGCTCTTAGCCTGGCCACAGACGGAGACATGGGGAGAAGAGGGGCGAAACCGCCGCCGACGCCAAACGCCTTCCAGATCGCGGCGCTGGTCGTAGGCATCCTGGACGAGAGAGCCCAAGAGGGGAACCCCCCGACACAGGGGGAGTTGGCAGAAGTCATGGAGCTAGTCCAGAGCGGACAAGGCCTCCTCTGGGGGGGGATTCGCTCCTCGAACTGGCAGACAACACACGACGCTACGGACGCAGCGGAGGAAGCCGAGGTCAGCCTGCAGATGCTTATCACAAGCTACCCCCTGAACCAAAACAAGCTGGGGGAACTACGCAACTTCCAGGAGGCGGCCGCAGAGGGGGTAGAAGCACTGGTGGGAATATACCCACATGCGGGGGAGCATGAGAGAATGGCGGTGCACCCAGCAGATGTGCTCGGCCTAGCAGCAGGGGGAGAAGAAGTACCACGGCGTGAAGACCGAGAACAACCAGACGCCGCTCACGTGTTCAAAGCCAAACGGCGACTGCGACAACTGCTGCCCTTCTTGGTGGGGGATGTACTGCATGAAGCGGTGCAAGCCATCCAAGAACTGGAAGCGTGGACGACGACCTACTGGGGAGAAGGCTACCCAGTGGAGCTCACCGACGACGAGGGGGACAGAGGGGCGGCCAGTACCTCAAGACCCTCTACAACCGCCGCGCGGGGGAGACACAATGAGCCATCGAGCGGGAGCCCAACTGAGCCGCGACGCCGCTTCACAAACCCGAGCTCACTCGACCAAGACGACTGATCAACCAAGGTAGCTCTAGTGCTGTGTAGGGCCAGTTTTGAGAGTTGTGTCATGCATGCAGGCTGTTTTGCACTGTCGGCGAGGAGCTCAGAGCCGTGCAATAGTAGCGGGGGAGAGACAGGAGGGCCAACAGGTAAACCAGGTTCTTGTATTGCCTCTGGTTGTATGGTAGGCTTGTTTGCAAGGCCCACGCACCAACCCGCAAGTTTTCACTCAGGTGTACCAGCCGAGGTGGGGACAGCATAGTCTTGTTTGACGTTAGGGTCGTGGCCCCTACTATGTCGAAGGTCTGTAGTCGGTAAAGCTAGAGGCCCCACCAGGACATGGTATGCTACTAAGCAGGGCACGGTCCAACTTGTGTAAAACCTGAACCAAGTTGTTCCGCTGCATTTGGGGCGCCTAAAAACTTTCGCTGAGCTGGTACCTAGGCTAGCCATAGGGGCGCGGGGATGAGGCGGGGGTTGTGTTGTGTTTAGTGTTCGGGGGGGGTTACCAGCTCGAAAGTTTAGGCCACACCCCGTAGTACAGTGCCGAACTCTGGAGTACCCCAAAAGCCGATCACTCCATAAACCAGGGGGTGGTCGGGCGGGCTTAGGCCTGTGGGTCGCACCGCGACCCTTATGCCCGGCAGAAAGAAAAGAAAAAGAGAGAGAGTAGCCATTTTGGCTCAAGTAATGCACCTGTGCTTGGGGGTCTGTAACGCCCCTTTGCCGGGGGGGGAGGCAGGGGGTTGGCCTGGACTGTGACTCCAGGAGAGCCTTCCTGTCTTTCCCAGCATTGCTTGAGTCCACATACCCGTTGCCACTTTGTTTAAGAGGCCCCTTGTAGGCTCGCTTAACCTGGAACCTAACCGCGGCCCTTCTTCGGAAGGTGGCCCGCCAGTAGGGGGAAAGGGCATACTTTGTGCCGGTGGACCACACGGTGATCTCGCAAAGTACCGGTACCACGTCTACCTCGATGGCAAGCTCTTCAAAAAACCCCACGGCTGGGGGGAAAGACGAGCAGAGGGGGAGACAACTCTTGAGGTCTCCATCTGCAAAACCAGCTAAGGTTAACACCACCTGGGAGGAGCAATGTAAGCTGGCTGAGGTGCTCAAGGATGGGGGTGACCTGCAAAGCGTGAGCCGGGGGAAGGATGCTACAAGACCATGGTCGCCAACGGCACGTTCACCAATACGGGGAGAGCATGTGACCTCAGACGAGGGGGAGCTGCGCAGAAAGTTCTGGTACAGACCCGCAACCCTGAAGACACCGAAGGCGGGGGAAGCGGAAAACCATGGGAAAACTACGTCCGCTTTGAGACGGAAGGTGGCCTGGCGCTGTTGTATGAGCCATGCAGGGCCTTTGGACCGGTGGATCGGGAGAGACATCCACTACCTTTGGCGTTCCCAGCAATACGTGGACTGGGCGACGGGGGACCCGCTACTAGAGGACGAAGTCGCCGACTACAAGTGCTACCTGCAACGCCACAACGAAAGGCGAGCCACCGGCAGAAATGCCGACAAGCTGGTGGAGCTGGTGGGGAAGCACAACCCACGTATAGAAGAGGAGCTGCGGATCTATGTGGGGAGGTTTCCATGGAAGGTCGCCCCACTTTTGTCCCAAGCGAAGCGTGTCTTCAAAACTCGCGAGGGGGACGAACCAGAGAAGCCCGAGCTCGAGAAGACCACGAAGGGGGAGAAGACCGTGCACAAGAAGACCAAGAAGGAGGGGAAAGACCGTGACCGCCGCAGAGACAAGAAAGAACGCAGAGACAGGAAGAGCAAGCCAGAGGATGAACCAAGCCGGACACCTGCAGCAGTGGGGGAAGGAACACTCCCGACAGTGGGGGAGACGGACCTTCCCGACGACGCACCGGACTGGGGAAGCGACAGCCACGAGGAACTGCACATACCTTCGGTCTTTCGCTGTGACCTCACCGTATGCCTGAAAGTACCAGCAAAGCTGCGTCCCGGTGTGAATTCTTTGTGCGGGCCGACATGGCCCTTCTCAGGCAAACCCTCACTCAACGGGCTGGACAAAAAGCCCCTAATCCTAGTTTCTTTTCAGCACACCTGTCGCAACTGAATTCGGGGGACAAGAGGCGCTAATTCATTCTGTTTCCGGCCTCGACGTGTTCAGAGTTACCCGTGTGAAATCACGGGGGACGGCATGCCTTTTCCTCTTGCTCCCGGAGAAGGCCAGTATAGGCACTGCTTGGCTGCTATAGTTACTATAGTTACGTTTGGGCGTTTGCTGATTCCGGGGGGAACAAATACTGGCCTTTTCACTTTACAAGTAAAGCCGAGCCCCTTTCAGTAAAACCGACGGGGGATGAAGAACCACCCGTGAAACGCGGGTGTGCGGACTCGCACGTGGGGGGGGCCCTGGACGCTGGCCCACCCTCTACGCCCGGTAGAGAGAGAGAGAGAGAAAGAGAGAGACGGCGCGCTGCCCTTTGGCTGTGTGCAAGCAAGAGAGAGACGGGGAACTTCCCCTTCACCATAGCCCTGGCGAAAGAAAAGAAAGACAGAGCAGTCGGAGGCGCGCTTAAAGCGTGGGTCTGATGACAGTCTGGACCTAAAGACTTGAAGCTCCTCGCGAAATCTCCAGCACCCGCACTGCGGCCGAAATGGTGGTAAACCGAGATGAACCGAGCTAAACTTTAACATTCTTTACGCGCAAAGCTTTGTAGCAGCAAGTCCGTTGAAGGTCAAGCAGGAAAGCGGCCCTGGGTATTCGTATTTATCGGGACCCGTGAGTTGAGATGGCTGACTTCACACGGTGTGTTACAACCAGCTCGTACTTCTTATTAAGTTTGGCTTAATTTGTTGCAATGCAACTTGGAGGGCTGAAGCCTAGCACGTCGTGTCTCATTGTTGCGAAACCGAGAAACTCGTCATGCCCGCAGCTGCTTCAGGACGCAGCACGTCTCCCACGTGGTGCCCGTGCCAGTTCCTGGTCCCCCCGCCAAGGTCATCACGATCCTTGGCATGAGCAAAGGGCGAAACGCAGAAAATCCCAGCAGCAGCAGTTCTTGCTGTGGCTGAGCTTCCCAGGCAGAAGGTGTACGTCAAGCATCATCCTTTCGAGTGCACGGAAGGCTCCCGGCCTCCAATTCGCCTGCGGATCCTTGATGCGCAACACCGTGTCGTGTCACCGCTTGCAGTTTGCAGGTTACGGCAGCTGGAAAACACAGTGGTCCCATGAGCATCAACGCTACTGCTGCTACAAGTTCAAGGAGTCCTGCGTGACGAAGGCGGGCATTAGTCCGAAGATTTCCCGGTTTGGGGTTGCGACTCAAGCGCTGGGTTGCGTCTCCTGCTGAGGTTCAGTACCGGAATCTCGGCTGAAGCACGCGGGGGCACCGTGCAAGTCACGTGCGGGGCAACGTGGCGGTGACAGGGCTTTTTGCAGCTGATTGCAGCTGTCACCAAGGAACCACTACAAGACCATCACGCACGTTCATCACGTCACCGTGCCAGAGAAAGTCGTGGTGCCGGCGCCGCCACCTCGCGAAATCAATCACATCGTCCATGTTCCCGTCCATGCGACTCGGACGCATGTGTAAATGCATTGAGGCTTCGCATGAGTGGTGGGGTTCTGGCTTCGAAACTGCCAGGATCCCAGCCCCGTCATCAAGATCAAGACTGCCGGGCCACCTCGCGTCGTGAAGCATTACGTCACGAAGAAGCACTATGTGCCCGAGCCCGTTCCGTCGCCGCCGACGTACCACTACAAGCCTGTTGCAGTCCCTGTGCATGTACCAGGCAAGGTCGTCCACGTGCCAGTTCCCATGCCGGCCAAGACCATCTACAAGGAGATTCCAATCACAAAAGTTCAGCATGTGATTCAGAAGCGCTACTACGACTGCGTTGCTGGAATCAAGAACTGGCATTACGGCTGGTCCAAGACGAAGAAGAGCTGGTGCTGCTCCCACGAGCAGAAGGGCTGTCCTGGAACATGGCAAGGGGATGGCTTGACGAAGACGATTGTGACAGGGGTGACCCAACACATTGGCCATGGCCACGTGGGCCATGTGCACGTCATCCACCATGTGCATCATTACTCAACGAGCAGCCATGACATCGACGAGCTGCCAGACGTCATCGGAGATGACGATGCCTCGCTGCCGCCCGAGTATCGCCACGGTGACCTGAGCATTGGTGGTGACGACGACTCACTGCCGCCCGAGTATCGCCACGGTGACATGAGCATTGGTGGTGACGACGACTCACTGCCGCCCGAGTATCGCCACGGTGACATGAGCATTGGTGGTGATGACGACTCACTGCCGCCCGAGTATCGCCACGGTGACATGAGCATTGGTGGTGATGACGACTCACTGCCGGACGAAAAATGATAGCCCCTGGCACTCCTCTGCTCTTCGCTGCGAAGCACGAACCAGCAAGAAGAGGACAGCTCCTTCAAGATCATGAAAGAGCACCGTTTCCCCGCAGAAGCACTCTTATGCTGCTAGGCATGAGCGAGCATGCAAGCATGAACAGGAGCCGGTGCTGTCGCTGGACGGGATGTTAGATGAGATTGGCCTGTTTGGCTCCTAGCTTCTGGTAAGCGAAAACATAAGACAGACTGACCCAGCTGGAGCCTCTCACGCCACGCTGCGTTCATCATGATAAAGGGCAGCTTCCGCAAGGTGGGGTTGGTCACTGGCAGCATCAAATGCCCGGAACCCAGTGCTTGTAATTGGACCACCGGTCACCGATCTACTTGCAGTGCTTTTCAAAAGCTGGAGGCGCTTTGGTGCTGAGCTGCATTGGCTTTTGGCTTTTCCGATCCACAAGGCCGAAGGCCTCCATTGGCAACAGCAAGCGCCGATACGAGCTTTAGGCCAGGCTCATAACTAAGCTCGAGCCCTATTACGAGCCCGCTCGCAATTGGCAATGGAAGTGAAGAGAAAGCCTTGTCGTCCCAGCCTGGTCTCCTGACGCTGCTCCACGAAAAGGATTCATAGACTCGGAATGAAGGGACCAGGATGCCCACCATCGCAATGGTCAGTCAGTCCTTCGCTTGGTTTGTAACTGTGCAGCTGGAAACCAGCTCACGTGTACGTCGAAAGACGTGCATCCTCTGCTCCCTCTGTCTCGAGACTCTCTGGAGCAAAGTGATGTGCCAGCAGCAATCATAGCTTAGCTTCGGACAAATCGACGGACGGCACATGATGGCACTATGTCGGGACTGCCGTGCACACTTCACTTGCCTTGGAAGTCTCAGCGCATGCACGAAGCCTGTGTGCGACGAACTGCAAAAGCGGCGGCTCCAAGGACGCAGTGAACGCTCAGAGCGTGCTTTCATCGCACTTCGAGGGGTCTCTTGCAGTTCGGTGCTGTATTTCTTAGGCGTTGGAGTTCGCTTCAGTTTTCGTCCTTGTTAATCTGGCAGCATCTGCCAACCACTGCTCCTTCCTTGACTCATCTCCTGCATCGCCATGGAGAGAAAGGCCTATGCCAAGTGTGGATCGACAGGGGTCAATGCTGTGAAGGTCCTGTTTTCGCTGTCGTGGAGCCCTTCAGTTCGGAAGCTGCTTTACAGAGCAAATGGTCTCGAGCTCAAGACGACGATGAAATGCGGCCAGGATGCATCGGTGAGCCTCCATCAATGGACTTTGAAATTCTTGTCAACTAGGGGCTGCGATGGTGAAGGAGTGCCTTGACAGTGGCACTGTCGTGTGCTGCCTTTGAGGCGGCTGAGTCTTTGCATCAGCCCTTTCCTACATGCACCCTTTGCTCACAACAGCACTGATAGAATCCAAGAAATTAGCTGGCATGTTAACTCGGTCGTCGTCAGCAGCAAAGTGCGTCGCTTGGCGACTCTCTCCCCCGGCGTTGTCTTGATGCTCTGCAGCACAGCGCTTTGCTCGAAGACCTCTAAGAGGCCATAAGTAGCCGCAAGCAATCATGGGGCCGCGGAAGCCCCCCGGATGTACTCAGCAGAGCTTTCAGATTGTTCTGTCTCGGCAGCCCGGCCATGTGGACTATGCCTATGCATGTCAGTCATGACATGGGAACGTGCAAGGGTCGATGTTGGGGCGGTGGATGATGGCTGCGGTGCCTTCGCAGCATTGTGCATACAACACATCTCGTGAGGACTGTAGGTTGGTAGCAATTGAAATCCCTTGAGCGTTCTGGACCCATAGAATCTTAGAAGAGTGCCGCTGAGGAGGTGCCTGCGGTGCGCTGTGCTTCTTGGCTGCTCAGACCTTTGACTGTTTTGAAGTTAGTCGAGGGGGCCATGGGATCGGCCATCAAACTGAAAGCAGCACGTGCACCGTCTTGGTTCTTCTTTCAGAGCCGAGCTCAGAGGCTGGTGGAAGGATGTCCTGGGATCTAGTGAGGCACGAGCCTGAAGCAGTTAAACTCAAGTGCAGGGTCATCTGAGTTGATCAACTTTGACCGTTGTACCTGTCGATCGAAACTTGGCGTCGCACTCTATGGAGTGCATGTCCATCGGATCCTATGATAGCTAGCGCGGCCAGCCGCCCATATAGTATAGTTGATCTCAAAATCTGTTTTCGACGACATGTGACTGCTGGGGCTGATACGGCCGCATGAAGTCGTGAACTAGCCGCAAAGGAAATCCAGTCTTCGACAGAGTTCCGAAATCTCCCACTTCCTGGAATCCTGTATTATACCTCAAACCTCCTACTGAGGCTTCGAGGCAGATGCAGAAGCTGGCCGAACGGAAGAGCGCTGGGTGTCTCGCCAAACAAGACGCTTTCAGGGCCGTGACAATGCAAAGTGCAGGTCTCCCCACCTGTATTAGGTGATTAGAGAGAGGGTCGCAGCTCAGATGGTGTAGGGGCCAACTTGGGACTGTGTGGCTGCAGTTCCGAGGCTTATGTCGGTGCAGGCAGGCTGGCAGGGCCTAGCGTGTTTCAGCCCTAGGCCGAGGTCCCGGCACCATGTCACGTCTTTGCCAGGTCAGGGAACTTATCGGCAGACATCCCAAATGGACTTTGTCGGCCATGGGTCGTCCCGTCTCAGATTCACCCATGATGCAGCTCCACCGTTAACTCTATCCCCGTGGTGCTGTCGACAGCCGCGACCCATGCCAGCCGTGGCGACTTCGAGAAGGAGAAGGTGAAAGTCGCCTCTGGCCCCTCGGTTGAACACAGCTCGAAAGAGTGACGAACAGCTGGGACCGGGAAACATGTTATCATGTTGCAACTGAGGTGGACAGCTTGAACCTCAGCCTGCCCTGCTGTGCCGAGACTGCACGAGCTGAAGAAACGCTTCTGCGGGCTTGAAAGGTTCCGCTCCATCTGTGCGGTGCTTCTCTGCTTCCTGCTCTTCTTAATTCTCGGGCTTCTGCTCTACCTCTTCTGGTCCGGCCCTTGGCACGCATGTGGTTTCACATATGGCCTCTGTCTTGATGCCTGCAGGCCCTTCAACTTCTATCAGACGGGGGCTGACGAAATGGTGCCGGCCTCAGATTGAGTTTGCTGCCTCTGCGGGCCTACGTTCTGCCGTGTTGGCTCCGTGGTTGGCTCCGTACGCACCATCTCAGGACCCCTGCATGATGGGCACCGTGAATACCATGACGGTCATTCAGAGGGAGGCCTGCTGCGCGCAGGGCAATGCAGGCTTCTGCGCCACGACGACGAAAGCGCCCGTGATCATCCACGACAAGCCCCTCGGCACCCCCAAGCCCAGTCCCATATGCCAGATGCCTCGCATGTCTGCTTTGTGTTTTGTTGCCACCATTCGGCTGCAGTGAGGTACTACACCAACGTGAGGACGGGATTGCGGTTGAGTGCCCGTTCGCTCGATTCCACACTCATCCTCAGCGGTGCGGGGGCAAAGAGCGGGCTCCGGCCAGCGCTTCCGAACCACCCTGGAAACAGCCATAACATTCAATAAATATTGCTGGCTTTGGCCGGTTACTTCCTTCACAAGGAACGAGCAATCAGAGTTCCAAGCCCCCAGAACAGATCGTGAGTACCATTAATCCTACCGCCATGCTTGCAAAAGAGCCTGGTTCCAGGACGCAGCACGTCTCCCACGTGGTGCCCGTGCCAGTTCCTGGTCCCCCCGCCAAGGTCATCACGATCCTTGGCATGAGCAAAGGGCGAAACGCAGAAAATTCCAGCAGCCGCAGTTCTTGCTGTGGCTGAGCTTCCCAGGCAGAAGGTGTACGTCAAGCATCATCCTTTCGAGTGCACGGAAGGCTCCCGGCCTCCAATTGCCTGCGGATCCTTGATGCGCAACACCGTGTCGTGTCACCGCTTGCAGTTTGCAGGTTACGGCAGCTGGAAGACACAGTGGTCCCATGAGCATCAGCGCTACTGCTGCTACAAGTTCAAGGAGTCCTGCGTGACGAAGGCGGGCATTAGTCTGAAGATTTCCTGGTTTGGGGTTGCGACTCAAGCGCTGGGTTGCGTCTCCCGCTGAGGTTCAGTACCGGAATCTCGGCTGAAGCACGGGGGGCACCGTGCAAGTCACGTGCGAGGCAACGTGGCGGTGGCAGGGCTTTTTTGCAACTGTCACCAAGGAACCACTACAAGACCATCACGCACGTTCATCACGTCACCGTGCCAGAGAAAGTCGTCGTGCCAGCGCCGCCACCTCGCGAAATCAATCACATCGTCCATGTTCCCGTCCATGCGACTCGGACGCATGTGTAAATGCATTGAGGCTTCGTATGAGTGGTGGGGTTCTGGCTTCGAAACTGCCAGGATCCCAGCCCCGTCATCAAGATCAAGACTGCCGGGCCACCTCGCGTCGTGAAGCACTACGTCACGAAGAAGCACTATGTGCCCGAGCCCGTTCCGTCGCCGCCGACGTACCACTACAAGCCTGTTGCAGTCCCTGTGCATGTGCCAGGGAAGGTCGTCCACGTGCCAGTTCCCATGCCGGCCAAGACCATCTACAAGGAGATTCCAATCACAAAAGTTCAGCATGTGATTCAGAAGCGCTACTACGACTGCGTTGCTGGAATCAAGAACTGGCATTACGGGTGGTCCAAGACGAAGAAGAGCTGGTGCTGCTCCCACGAGCAGAAGGGCTGTCCTGGGACATGGCAAGGGGATGGCTTGACGAAGACGATTGTGACAGGGGTGACCCAACACATTGGCCATGGCCACGTGGGCCATGTGCACGTCATCCACCATGTGCATCATTACTCAACGAGCAGCCATGACATCGACGAGCTGCCAGACGTCATCGGAGATGACGATGCCTCGCTGCCGCCCGAGTATCGCCACGGTGACCTGAGCATTGGTGGTGACGACGACTCACTGCCGCCCGAGTATCGCCACGGTGACATGAGCATTGGTGGTGATGACGACTCACTGCCGCCTGAGTATCGTCACGGGGACATGAATGTCGATGAGTGAAGACAGAGCACTTGATTGAAGGATGAGGCTTGATCTACACATTCCGGATGTCACATCATGTCAAGCCAGAGCAACCCGGACCAAATTGCTTGAGTTGGACATCGGTTTTGAACTATTCCTTGAGTCAATGTTGCATTGATTCATGAGCTGAGGCCTGTTCTATCATGGTACCAGCTGATTTGACTGTTAATTTGAGCTGTCCTTGACTCCAGCTTGGAAATGTAGTTTCTGAGTATCTCATACACAGCCTCACAGAGCTGTTTGCTCAGGCTGTGTGTGCCGCAGAGCCTCGTGGGGAAAGGAATTTGATAACCCTTTGAGATGGTCAAGCAGATCCCAAACTTTCAAGGAGGCTCCGTCTTGCCACCAAATGTCCCTGCTTACCTGCGGTCCGCCTAACAAAGACAGGGACATGCACTCGCTTAACGTAGCATTCTTGCGGACGCACTGTTTCATGGAACATTAGTGTCGACGAAAGCAGCAAAGCATGCTTTTGCCACTGCATTCCGAGCGGTAGCAAAAACAGGTTGAAGTTCAAATTGAAGAAGTGAATCTCCGCATTCTTGAAGTCACTTGACGGGTGTTGTTTTCCTTCAGAAGACTGGTTTGTTGAGACCGGAGTCAGAGAGATAAAGGCAGCAAAGCACAATTGTCCTGCAAGTTTCTGGCTGGCAATACTAGTCCGTGGGCAAAGAAAAACTAGAAGAATCGTGTCAACGATGCAACCGTGAAGCATCCCGGATCCACGGGGCTGCACCACTTGTTGTGATTCTGTTTGCAAACGGTTTCCAAAACAATCATGTGCCCCGTACCGTCAACGACACTGATGGGTAGCTGATCCCCTTCTCTTTCCATGAGTACATGATAGTAGCAACGGGGAGCAACACTTCATGATGAAGTTGATGCTACACATCGTTACTAGTTGTCTTCCGTCGTATGATCCCTGTCTGCCGTGGGAAGGGAGTGCAGTGTTCTAGATTCTACACTACATGGCCGTATGTTCAAGTGTTCAACAAGTGGTCGAGCGATTTCGGGGACGTGCTCGTCTGTCTGTGTCCTTCCGATGTACTTGGCACCGGCAGTGCGACAGCCATGCAAACCTCCCGCCATGTTTCGCGTGCAAATTACACCTTGTTTGTCCAACGTGCGAAGACAACCAGGGAGTCGGAGTGCTTTCCCGTCGTTCCAAGCGGAAGCTTCAGTTTTACTGTTGGCCCCCTCGAGTTTGCCACTGTCACTCGTCCTTATCTGTTCACAGGTCTTGACGGTTTGCATCTGCGGCCATTTCATGTCAGAACTGCGTCCTACCCGTCCCCCGGCTGAAAAAGGACAAGAGCTTCGATTCGTTTCGGTGACTTGAACTGATTCCGTGGTCAGTTGCTTGCTCCTGCGGAGGACGGGACGTAGGAAGATCGAAGCGAAGGCGTAACCGCGTGACTGACCTCGATGTCAAACTTCTTCTTTGGTGCCACCCTTAGCTGATCAGCTCATGTCGGTCGAGCCTAGCATCTTGCGCGCCGAGACCTGTTCTACGAACGCTATGCCGATGGCGGCGGCACCGAGAGCATCCAGTATGTTGGCTCAGGCCGATCTTGGCTCGCACCGTTTGTGAAATGCGCCGCAGACCAGCAGTTTGGATGATAATTATGATGTCGAGCTGTCCATGTCCACGGCCACCGGCCTTGAGAGACTTCGATAAAAACCTGCTTTCGAATCTAGTTGTCACAGAGCCAGACTACGTTTTTTCTTGTGTGTGCATGTGTCTGAACAGTTCGAGTCTCCTTCACCTTCGACTTTACTTGACTTCTCGTGACTGCTCCGTCTGTTCCGCATGGCTGTATGGTCTTTTGAAAGCTTTGGTCTTTTTCACTGCATGTCTTGCTATGCTATAAACCTACAGCAAGCCCTGTGTGCAGTGCGTCTGACCAACTTGACCCTTGGACCCAGAGCCTCCAAAACCCCTCAATTAAGGAATATACCTTAAAAAATAATGGGATCCCGAATATGGTTTAAGGCATATATTCCTTAATTAAGGGGTTTTGGAGGCTCTGGGGACGGTTCGGAGCTTGTTGCGTGTGACAAAGAACTCATTCGAGCATTTCGAGCGATGTAGTTCCTTCTCCAGAAAACGGGCTGCCGAAGTTGCGCCTCTTCTTCTGGCTCTTTGACAGGAATGGGACACATGGAGTCGAAGCTCACTGAGGTTGGTGCAGGCTTCGAAAGAAGGGACTGATTCAGTGTGTCATAAGGTGTGACAAGACAATGGTTCAGGCCGAGGCAGCTACACCAAGGAGCAGCGCGCCACCTATGGGTACAGGCATGGTATGTGGATTCCATTTTTAAGCGGGAATGCTGATTCTGGAGAAACCGTCATTTCGATGCACTTACCGCCTGAAACCAGTTTCAACCGGACAAGAGCTAGCAATGCGTAACGGTGCGTGGGAGTCTTTGCCACTCTGCACGAACCCTCACAGCCTATGAGTCCGATACAATCTGATGCTTCACAAGATCTGTTGTTTAAAGTTGTTCGTTTGTTCGTTTGTTCGTGTGCGTGTGCGAACCTCGAACCTCCTTTTTGCAACGGAATGAGGGTATTTTGATTGTGCAATGTTTAAAAGGTTTGACAGGGGGTGCCAGGGGATGGCTGGGCCAACGAAAACCTGTCTGTTTTCCTGTGAGATCGACTTGGGACGCCAAGTCGACGTGCCCCTAGATTGTGCAGTGGGATCGTTTCAAGTCCAATACTTGGATTGGAGATCTGCACAAGTATGCTCCAGACCGCTTTCGCTAATCGCACTGTCTGCACCAGGGCTGCCTGGATGTAGTATGATGACGGCACATAGCAGCGACCGATTATGTTCCCTGATCGGAACAGACTGACCAACTCCCCAATTGAAGTACTGTGCCCTCAGTTCGTGACTTTCCTTCCTTCTAGAAGGTGTGTGTGTGTGTGTGTGTGTGTGCGTGTGTGTGAAAGCCCTGCTTCTACGCTAAGGGTCCTTTGGACTGTGCGAAAGGAAATGCAGAGGCCCTGAGGCTGACAGACAGGTCTATGGTACCTGTAAGGCCAACAGAGACGCATGTATGTTAAGTGTGATGTGATTGTGGGATCATGTCCTGCTTGGTGTGAAGAAGGGCTCCGAGAAGTGGACTGCAGTTGCAGAATAGGAGTCATGGCTTGTGAAATCACCGAATTTCGGTGCAGGACTTGAGTGTTTCAGGTTGGCAGGTCGTCGCATCAACTGGACAGATACTGTGCTACTGTTGCTACTGTGCCCGGTGACGAACTTCCACTTTCTCTATCTCTTCTTCTTCTCGCTCTCTCTCCCCTGTGTGTGTCGTGCTTCCCAGGCTGAATGGCTGCAAGCGTCACATTGCATTTTCTTGCGGAGTAAGTTGCGATGTCACAGAGCAGAGCTGTAGTAGAGTCGCCACAGCTTCTTGCCTTTAGCCCTATATGGCTGAAGGTTAGTAGGCTGAGCACAGGTGCCGCCCAGCCGCCGTTTGCTGCTGTGTGTTTTGGTGCCGGGGCCTCATATACCGTGACTATACGCCTTCAGCGCCCGTCCCTGTCGAAACAAGTTTTGCCGCAGGCTTGCTGGTGTTGCTCTTCCCGTTGTACTGGGTCTGCGGTGTGCGGCTCTCGGGTCTGGCTGAACTGTGCTGCGCGACACCCTGGAAGTACAAAACAGGTCCGCTCCCTCTTCACCGGTGAAATGTGTGAGCGCCAACCTTAGCGTCGACGTGGATGTAGTAGATCATGTGACGGCGCGACCACACAACACAATTCGCTCTCGCTCCCTCTCCCTGTGCACTCCCTCTCCCTTTCGGGCTTTCTCGCTGCGTTTTGCATGGAAGCACACGAGGCGAGATGTAGACGTAGAAAAGACGATCTGATTGATAGAGCAGGTTAGGTACTCGTACCGTACAGTTCTAGAAACCTTTCTCTGCAGCACTTTGGGTGCAACTTTGTTGGCAAGCTCATCCTCAACGAAGCATCTCGAACAACATGTTGCGGTCACGGCAGTTTGTTGCGTTGCCGCGCCAGCTGTCGCACTCTGAAGGGCCGGCCGTGATGATGGTTGCGGAGTCTCGGCGGCAGATGGCATGCATGATTCATGATGCCGGGTCGCGCGTCATCTCCGAACATGCCGCAGCCTGCTTCACCCATGTCGATGTCAAGCCTGCGATGGGCTTTTGGAGTGCAGATCCAAACGAATCTCGCGAGCCCAGATGCTTGTCTGGCGGCACCGCACAGCCCGATGCTCATGCACACCGTCCGGGGGGTGCCGGCCGTGAGGGGGCAGGCGGTGCGGGCCTCAGCTGTGGCTGCAGCCCGGACGGACATGGCAGCACTCACGGTGTGTGAGGCAGACTTCTGCTGCTCCCAGTGCGGAGTCAACTGCTACGACCCCATCACGGTCACGACCACCGAGGCCTTGCAGGATGCGGGCACTTGCGTCGGGAGCCGCGCTGCGGAATCTGCGATGCCAAGGCGCCTCGTGTGGTGGTCCGGCGCCACTACAACACGGTGGTCAGGACTGCTCAGCTGGCTATGCTGGCGGCCTCACTGGTCAAGCTGAGGGTTGGCCGTGAGAGTGTCCATGACCTTTATTGACATGACCACGCTTGGCATGAGGAGGGTTCCGGTGAACCACTACGTCCCTTGGCTGCAGTGCTTTCGAGAAAGCCCTTGCTTGCCCACTGGCAGCACAGTGCCTTTCCATCCTGGCTGCCAGGTGAAGGTGCAGATGCCACGGCCTGCCCCCATCGTCCACACCGTGCACGTGGTTGCGACGGCCTCAGTCTTGCTCGAGAATGCCACTATACAGAAGCAGCAAAGTCTGAACGTCGCTCTGTCTTCGTTTCCATGTCAACTCTCGCGAGATGTGAATCTGTTTTCTCTACTCTCCTCGGACTTCTGATCTGCGTCGCTGATCAGAAGCCCAACGCCCACTACGAGTGCTTCAACGGCGGCGACTACGACCACGAAATGTGGT